AGTTATCTATAATGCCTTTCAGGGGAAAATTTTTGAATTGAAATAACATGACTTCCATTTTGCATCAAAAGTTTGTATATAGTTAATTGGACCTAAGCTTTTCAAATCTGGTATCGTCTTTCATCTATCTAACTCCATTCTCAAGAGTTAAAGAAAAACAGACAGACAACATACAGATGGACAGTGGGAAGGTCAACAGGTCTACAATTTTTTCAAATTGTAGCCCAAAAACAATGTTTGAGATTTTTAAAATAACTAGTTTAAAATTTCAATTTGTTTTTACTGCATTGTTTATATCATTGTTTATTATTTTTGTTAACATTTGCTAGACTTCATACATTAAAGCACACTCGTTAAAAAAAATTCTTCAAAACAAAGAAAAATCAAACAAAAACTGTTCTGACCATGATGAAAACCTTTAAAAAAGTTTTTGAAAAATTTCACTATGAAAAAGTCAATTTGGAAAAATTTCTGTAATTTTACTTTGGAATTTTTTTTATATAAAAACTTTGTTGTCTTTAGAATAGCACTTCTGTGAAAAGTTCAATTCCATTATATATAATAATTCTACATAAATGAGAGAATTTCAGCAAAAATTTCTATTAATATGTAAAATTAAGATGACACACTTATACTAGAGAACAAATATGACATTTCACAATTCTTAGTTACATGCCATGCTAAATGAATACTATTCTGGCAATAAAAAAATATTTTGGCAACATTAAGCATATTTCTCTCATCATTCCATTTTTAAGATTCTTACCAAATGTTAACTATAATCATAAGCATTTAATTTTTTATTTAAATGGCAAGATATTTATTCTATAAATTATTCAATAAAACTGTATTTCAGTTGAAGGATGTATTTGTTTCACATTCACTTTTGATACAATCATCAACTGACTATTATTGGATTGTTTGGAAAGTAAGATCGTTTTTTTTTTACCACTAGATGGATTAGTCATATTTTTCCCGCCATTTTCGTTCTAAACCATATTATCATTATATATTTTGACAGCTAGCATTTTAAGGCTTATTTGTAAAAAATTTTGTTTGATTTTGTGCAATTGTTTATTTTTCGTGTCCCATCAAATATGGAAGATCAAAATCAGCATTTTCGGCATATTTTGCTCTTTTATTACCGAAAAGGTAAGAATGCTATTCAAGTGAGAAAAAAATTGTGACATGTATGGAGAAGATGTATTGACAGAACGACAGTGCCAAAACTGGTTTACAAAATGTCATTCTGGCAATTTCAATATTGAAGATGCACCACGTTCTGGATGGCCAGTTGAAGCCACTGAAAACAAAATAAAGGTACCGATTGAAGCAAACTGCTGAATAATGTGATGTGAAATCACTAAGATTAAATTTGTCAAATTGAACCGTTTATGACTACTTGAAACAAATTGGTTTTGTTTCAAAGCTCGATATATGGGTTCCACATGTTCTTAAAGAGAGATAGATGCTCTCTTTGTTCTTAAAGAGAGATGCTCTTTGGATTTTAAGGAAATTTTTTTTTGGAGCTTTTTCCAGACAATTTAACAATTGATTTGAAAGTATATTGCCATCGAGTAAACAAATTAAGTAATATCATCAAACAGAAAAGGAGGCCAGAATTGATCAACAAAACAGGTGTAGTGTTTTACCACGATAATGTCAAATTTCACACAAGTTTGTTAACTCGTCAGAAACTGTTATAACTTAGATGGGACGTGTTATCGCACCAACCATATTCACCAGATCAAGCACACTCAGATTATTACTTGTTCCAGTCTATACAAATTTTTTTAACTATAAGACATTTACTTGAAATGACAATGTCAAAAATCACTTGGATCAGTTTTTTGTAAGCAATGATCAAAACTTTTATTAATGTGAAATCATGCTACTACCAGAAACGATGACAATAGGTATTTGACCAAAATGGTCAATATATAATTTAATAAAATATTTATTTATTATAAAAATATTGTTTTTTTTCACGAAAAAAAAAACGAAATTACTTTCTGAACAACCCAATAATTAATAGTGATTTGAAAGCCTTTGTAAATTTCTGAAAGATATGAAATAAAATACTTAGAGTAAGACCAGGACTATTTAACTTTTAGTAAGGAAAATTTCAATTTTATTCAATAATTAGCAACTGGAAGTTCATTTAAACCACATCACTAAAAACTATATTCTTTGTTCTATATTAATATGTTCATGTTGAATTTCTAAAAAAATTCTCAGTTTATTGTATAAAATATACTATAAAGTGTCCTGACACATGCATTCATATTTTTATTAAAGTAATAACATTTAAAAAGTAAATTGTAAAAAAAAAAAAAAAGCATTATAGATATTAATGAACAAAATATTGCAGTACTTTAATTTATTAAGCATGAAAAAGAAGTCACTCAATATATTGTTCCAAGTAACAAAGAAATTGTTTTAAAGATACTTGTAACATACAAATTAAACAATCACAAACAAAACCTTTTTTAATCAGTAACTGAACTTTAACGTAACTTCCGAATGTTTTCGGCTTTCACCAAGACCTGCTTCAGGTAATGAACTGAACTGACTTCCAAATTGGAATGTTAGAACCTGAAGCAGGCCTTGGTGAAGGTTGAAAATGTTTGGAAGTTACGTTAAAGTTCAATGATTGATTAAAACAGGTTTTGTTTATAATTGTTTATTTCTCACTCCAGTATTCTTGAGAAGACTGTTATAACATACAAATTCTTTTTTTCAATAGTTCCTACTCATTTCATGATACCCTTGTTTACATTTTTTTATCATCATGTTCAGTCTCCTTTCTTCAATGATGATTTCAAATAGATTCACAAAACACTACATTATGACCCAAATAGCCCCTTTTGACAGTTCAGCTGTGAAAATCACAAACAAAGCCAAACAAGAGAACAACAAATATGGTATCTATCAGTCACTAAGTACAATAGAGTATTGATTATCCGAATGTTAAATCAACCAAAACATCAATTAACCGAAAGCTTTCCAGTCAGCAAATTTAAATTTCCGCTAGTGCTGTGGTGCTGCAATCTTTGGCTACCCCAATATTATTTTCGTTGGTGTGCATGTTTTAGCTGGCAGCATTGGCACGACCATGAGAGGGTACTTAAGGACGTGCCAAGATTTGAACGAATTTCAACATGGGATAGGTTAATATATTTTTTCATACATAATCGGTTATCCAAAAATCAATTTTCCGAACAACCGAATCAATTGGGAACTGCCCAATTGAATCGGATAATCAATGCTCTACTGTATATGCTTTATCTCTACATGGAAACCAACAGACATTTTGGCTACGCACACTAAATAATGCTTACGAATTACTTGTTCAAAATTATAACACAGCTTAAACTGAAAGGAAGAATCTCACCATGGTATATTTAATTCAAAATTGCTTGCGTAAAACAGCTTTAGGGAAAAAAATAATAATTTCCACAATTGCCTTCTCACTACTGAATTCCCTCGAACTCGGTATATGCACAATGGAGGTTATATCAGATGAACATTTTTCTTATTTAGACCCAAATAGCCCCAGTCTACTCTAATTTATCAGATGAATAGCCCAATTATAGCCAAAAAGCCAATGATTATAGCCAATTATAGCCAAAAAGATGAATAGCCAAATAGCCCCAGTCTACTCTAATTAATCAGATGAACATTTTTCTTATTTAGACCCAAATATCCCCAGTCTACTCCAGTCACAATGAACATTTTTCTTATTTAGACCCAAATAGCCCCAGTCTACTCTAATTTATTAGCTGTTTGTTCCATACTGGTTATTTTTACAAGAAATAAACCTCTACTCTTCGCTTACCGAATAGACCAATCTTTACTACCGCATATAAACAGCATCCTAGTCAAGATTTGTAAGCCATGCCAGACATTCTGATATTGAAAACCAAACATGTTTTCACAATTTCCAATACTTATGAAGATATATATCTAAGTATTGGAAATTAAAAACTCAAAAATTTTTTGAATTTTGAATGATTTTTTCACAATAACTGGTTATTTCAGTTTTAAAAAAACAGTTCCATAATTACAAGTTTTGTTTTAATTCTAAAGACAAATTAAAAATCATACTTATAGATACATAAAACCCAGCTACAAGAACAAATAAAATTTAAAATCATCATTAAATTATTACAACATTAATATTTTAATATAAATATAAAACACAAGTTATAGATTAAAACCAATTATAAATAAAGTAAGCAAAGCAAATTATTAAATATGTAATTAATCATCAATAAAATGAAATTAAATTTAAAAAAAAAAAAAAAACAGGCACTATTTCGAAGAGAAGCAACAGAATCAAAAATCATATAGTAGGGGGAGAAAATATTTAAAGCATTTCGGAGATGCAAATAAAAATATCTAAAACTATTTTTGAGCACTCAACAGGAAACCATTTAAAAAGTAAACATGATAAGAAAACTTGCTTAGTTAGCCATTATATATAATATAGAGCAAACATTAAATGGAACTGCTAAATCATCATTATTAATAATAATCCAATTTAATAAATACTGTATATTTATATATATATATATATATATATTTAATAATTATTATTTTAAAACCCAATTTTTATTCCGTTTAAAGGGTGGATTAAAGCGGAAGATTCCTCTACGTTACAAAATTTTTTACTTAAATATTACCGTGGGCCACCTTAAATTATCGTAAACAAAGAAAGATATATTTAGCATAACAAACAAGCCGGCCGCCAACATTGACGAAAATTTCAGCCCTCTAACGCGCATAAACAACCCGAAATGAGCTTTTTAACGGAGATTTTAGGCACAGAAAAGTCTCCTTTAATTAAATTGATTGACGATTATCTGTATTAAGCGATATAATTTATATAACACTTTAAAAATGAAGAAGATAAGAACGATTTTCATAACAAAGATACGTATGATGGCTACTACGCTAAGCCTAACGTTTATTTGACTCTTTCAACGAGCGATTATTACCAATTATCTTTTTCGATGCTGTTTGATCCGTTTGCCTTTGCGTATCCGACATGATGACTCGTTTACTCAGCTCAAAATGATGTTATACAACCGTCCCTCCTTCCTCTTCCGATTCCCGATGTTAACTCGCTCGCTCCTCCAGATCTTCGACTTTGTTCTCACACTCCGTCCGCATCCACGCCGGCGTTTGCATTTCTATAATCCCGAATACCCTAACCGCTTACTGACGTCACGCATGCATCGAAAGATCTGTTTGGTCGACGATATTATCCTTACTCGATCCTATTCAATCAAATTTCTCCATTCAACTTGACGTCATTAACATGTTAGGGTTAATTACGGTGAAAATATATACCAAACTGATCGTTACTTTAGGTAAATTTTTTTTATCATCATGTTCAGTCTCCTTTCTTCAATGATGATTTCAAATAGATTCACAAAACACTACATTATGACCCAAATAGCCCCTTTTGACANATCTGTTTGGTCGACGATATTATCCTTACTCGATCCTATTCAATCAAATTTCTCCATTCAACTTGACGTCATTAAAATGTTAGGGTTAATTACGGTGAAAATATATACCAAACTGATCGTTACTTTAGGTAAATCTCATTGGATAAAAATATATTTTGTTATAAAAATTTTTTTAAATAGTATATAATTTCATTTATATATATTTTATAATTATTATATCGGTTTAAGAAACCTGAAATTGTAACTATGTTAATATTATATTATATTAATAGTCCATCTGTAAAGTCTCCCTCCCTCTTGCGGCCGTTGATTTGCCATTAGAAGTAGTTACCGGTAGGTTTATTATTTCACATTATCCAAATATTTAAAAAAATATCCGTACGTACGATTTTATGTATTTTTTAAAAATTATTTTTTCCTTATCGGTTATTATTTAATAATATTATGTTATCGATATCGATCATTTTAATAATCGCATTTTATTTTCGGGCGTAGTTTTGGATCACGTGGCGCTTGCGTTTTCTCTTTACATTACGGCCATTTGAATAGGCTTAAATCACGTGTAAGTTCAGGTATTATTTTAATATTTTCGGCCATATCATTTATCGTTATCGCATTTTAAGTATATTATATGAAATTTGTGAGCGAATTAACTTATTCTGAATCGAAATGATCGATTTTATATATATTTTTACGTGAAAGTATGTTGCATCCAGTGTATGGTCCTTTGTAGGCTTAACTAAGTACGTTCAAAGACTCATTCTTAGACTCGCTCCATACAAATCATGCAGTTTTTTGCGTTGTAATGTGCTTTTATCGGTATTAAAAGCTGTCAGAGGCATTCGAATTTATAAAAATAAATCGTTTTCTATTACTTTTCAATTAAATTTATTTCCAGATGTTTAATTGAATTATTCTTTTCGTGATTTTGTATTTAGGCTAAACTGATATTAATCTAAAAAAAAAAGGTTTTGCATTGTTCTTATCCTTATCTCTCTTCTTAAGGACAGAAATTTTTTTTTTATAAAATTTGAATGAGTGATTTTTACTATATAAAATTCCAAATCTTAACCCAATTTATTTAAAAAAAAAAAAATTATAGCTGATCAAGCTTATAATTTATATTGTGGATATATAGCCATATTGAATTGTGTGTCTGAATACTTAATTGTTAATAAATGTGGTGTTTTATTGTAATTGTTTTATATATGTGCAACATGAACAAATGAGATTTACTTTCTTTGTTCTGTAGTTACACTATTTACTCTTTGAGTAAGTCAATGACTTTGACTTTTAATGTTGTCTTTTTGGATCTAAATTAGATGTGTTTTCAGATTTTACTTATGTGAAATATCTACAAATTTGCAGTGATATATATATACTTAGTGAAGTGAGAAGTTATAAAATATTGAAGGGGGGTTTTTTCCTGTTTGTTCAGGGTTTGTGTTAAAATTTTTTAAAAATTAGCTTTGTGCAGGTGTAATATTGTAGCCTGTTAGTTAACTGAGGTGCAATTATTGCCAGTTGAAAACTATTTCCAATTTAAAAAAATTAATTTTATCTTAAAGAATGAAATGCTTTACTTCTAGATTATTTTTTTTCTGTAGGAGTTTCAATCTATCTAACACAGAACAACTACTTCAAAATAAAACTGTTAATTTGGAAATACAGCGTTTCGGACAAGATTCAAGTTCCAGATGGGGGATTTTTGACCTCCTTGTACAAGCTGAAAAGTCAAAGGAACCATACCTGTACATATGACCTTTTGCGAGATATTCACTTCGAAAGGTCAGTTTTTAACATGTATCAGTATACAGCCTACTCTCCATGCTCTGCATGTAGTCATGGGCTTTGGTGCTCACTGTCGCTTGTACTATACCTCTGCGCCCGGGTGGAGGCGAGTCCCCACATCCTCTAAAACTCATAAAGTAGTCAGTGAACAGTCAAGTGGGCGGCTCGAAGCTGGCATAGTTTTGTGGGCTAAATAGGAAAACATGATAGTCTTAGCAGAGTGATGTGACTTGCAATCTCATGCAACCCGATTTTGGGGCTTTATCTCTTGAAGGGTTGCTTGTAGAGGTATGGTTATTTTGACTTTTTTGCTCCTGTAGGTATGCTCTACAGCTTTGATAAGATCCCAAACATCTCATTCAGAGCTTGAATTGAGCTGCTTTTCATTCTATAAAATAAATACATTTTTGTTTTTTAAATTTAGAAAAAACTGTGTGTATATTTTCATTATCAAATAGTTGCATTTTTTTTATACATTACTTTTTGTTAGTCAATAGAAACAGTTGTTGGTACAGTTTTTTTCAGTGATACTAAATAAAAATTAAGCTATTTCCACTAAGTTAGCCACTATAGTGCTAGTGCAGTGAGGTTCACAAGTGCTGAAGTCAGAAGTTAAGATGGCTGCCACCATAAACTATACACATACTGTACTGTACCTCAAATGAAAATTGTGACTTACAAAAATCTATTTTAAACTAATTATTGGAGAAATTAGAAATGCAATTTTTTTACATAATTTTCCATTCTAACAAACATTTCTAGATTTATTAGCAATGGCAAATTTGCACATTGTTTTTGTTTACCATATAGGTAATTGAATTTTCTTAATTGGATGCCTCCAATATTTTATAGTCTGTGACAATTCTGTTGTTTCTGACTAAACATTTTCATACAAAACAAATTATACAAAGAATCAAACAAGAATGCTAAGTAGCAGTGTTTCCTACAAAAGCAGAAATTGCTTAAAACACCTTCCAGTAACTTAAGTAAAGCACCTTTACTAGGAATTGCACTCAAAAGATCAAACTACCAGGAACATCAGCTGTGTTCAGCAGATTGAACTGTTCTGGAGTTGAGTATTTCACTGCTGAACATCCTCTACAGTAGTACTGTTTTGGAGCATGCTTGGCATTTTGATATCACATTTTACATTTCATTTACGTTACTTTTGGGTAGCTATAACTGATCTAAGATGGCTATGCCTACATAGCATGTGAAGTGTATATTATTTACTCATATGAAAGTGCACATTACAGTATTAATCCATTTAAAAACAGAAATATGCAAAAATAAAACATTTAAGATATTTAACAAAGAAATTATATATATTTTTAAAGTGTTTGTAAAGAAGCGGCAGCTACTATAGCATTACAATCCTCTTGCATTTAACTCTTAATTCATTGTTCAGCAGATTTGTTGCCATTAAGTAACAGTTACTACTACCTTATCTTCACTCAGTTGAAACTGTTGTCTGCTGAATGCAGCCATCAAATTATGACTGGAGGAGACTGGGAACAGATTTATAATGACATTAATAAATACCAAAATATATCATTAATTTTTTTCTTAAATTAAGGGATTAATATTACATTTTTTTATATATACAGTAGACCATCGATTATCCGACTCCTGATTAACTGTCACATCGGTTAACCGACCGTTCTAGTCGGCAAATTTCAAATGTTCGCTAGTGATGTGGCATTACAATATTTGGCTATATCTTGGCTACTTTAATATTATTTTTGTTAAATATTTACGTGTTTTAGCTGGCATCAACGGCTCGACCATTGAAGGGAGGCCGGTATTTAAATGAGACTTAATTTTCTAATTATGAGTGGTTGGTTGTTTCGTGAGCAATAAAATAATTTTTAACGATACAATAGCAATGATTATTATTTTAAAAAAAAATTGTTGGGCTAAACATCGATGAATATTCAATGCAAAGTTGGTTAATAGCGATATACTAATAAACTAATTGCATGGGATATCCTAATATACTATACTAATAATGTATTTTTTTCCTTCTTTTTGGTTATCTGATTTTTCAGTTATTCGACCAACCTGAGTCCCCAATTGAGTCAGATAATTGATGCTCTACTGTATATCTATAAACAGGTTTCTGTAATTATTAAAATTGTCTCGTTTGTTTAACAGTACAATGACTGAATGTATTAACGTTTTATAACCGACACGATACTTGAATTGTAAATAAATGCATCTGATTTAAATTAATTGAAGTTTTAAGTCTTCATCCATTTGAATATCGAAATTGGAACTTAAGTTTAAAGTATTTAATTTTGTCGATTTGTACTGTTTACAACATTTATCAAAGGAACAATATCTGCTTTTATCTAAACTTTTCTACAAACAAAGCTACCACTCGAATTGAAAAGCCCTCTAAACCTGCTGTCGAGTGAGTCTAGAACAAATAGGTCAAATAACTTGTTTCTAATTGCTGTCTACATTGTGGCAGGCGAGAAACGTCATCTCTGCAATGAAATTTTTCTGAACAGCGGTCTACCCGATCTGTAAACCATTGTCGGTCTCTAAATGTTGTCTCTGCAAGCGGCTGTGGGAATTTAGTCATAGGTTTCGTCTCGCTTGGACGGGCTGACCATGTGGAGTTTTCTGGATTTTCTCCATGTCTGTAACATCTAAATAGGGGCCAATTTTTTTTTTAAAGACCTCCTGGAAGGGTGATCTGTCTAGGGGGATGCCAAGTGTTAGTTGCCATAACTAAACAAACAAACAAGTGTTTGTTTGTTTAGTTATGGCACCAGGGTTATGGTTTAGTTATGGACCATACTGAAGAAGTTTACTTTTTTTTTTATCACAACCTTTGTCTTCATAAACATATGAAGAGCACAAAATAAATTTTTTAAAAAATGGAATGATAATTCATGTATTATTGTGTTAAATAAGTGAACCTTTTGCTTGTTTTTAAA